TCAAAGAATTTTGTTTCAAAATATTTTAAATTGTTCTAAAAGGTTTATACAAGCTTCGTTGGGATTCCAGAGTGTCAAAATTGAGTGCAAAACATCAAAAAATATTCTCGAGGGCCCAAAATATATTGAAATAAGCATGTTCAAACCCAAAATTGTGCTTGCCACCCGCCACCGGCAGTAGCACTTGAGGCCTAGTCTATGCCCTAGGAGGCTAGGAGCGTGTTACACAGTGTTGCCTGGCGCCTTAAATGGGTGTCGTTTCGATTCCTTATAGGGCATCATTTTGTGCCCCTTTTTTAATTATATATTTTTATTTGATTTTGTTTTTTTTTATATACTTTTTATTTTGAAATAAAATTATTGATTTTTTTTAAGCTAATGGAATTGGAATAGCTAAAATCTTAGTAATTTAGATCTAGAGAGTAAGGTGAGGTAGAGGGCCACAAAATAGCTCTACGTGTACGCATGAAATGAGTTTTTATTGGCTATTAAAGCCACTCTCATCCATGCTTCACCAGTAATCAGTAGAGTCCGAGAGAACAACTTATCGCGCGCCACTTCCACTTCGATAATTAGGCTTCTTCTTCTTCTTCACATCGAGTATCTTCTCCATTGTTATCGAACATCCACTTCTCCTCTCTTTTGTTCTTGAAAATCCCTCATTGTCACAATGTTGTGGTTGTTGCTTTCTTTTCGAAAATATCTGCATGAGCCTCCAATCAAGTTAGCATTCTCTCCATTTCGTCTTTCTGGCATTTGCTTCAATTCCCCCACCTCAAAATTTCCTTTCTTTCCAATCGTTGTTGACCCCTTGAACATTAGCTGAAACCCCTCTACCACCACCATCCCACCGGCAGCCAACCTCTGATCATCCCGCAAGGTGAAACTCTATTATAGATTCAGTGACAAGCTCATGCCACATCTTAGCGAGGCGACCTGCACTATGTTGGCGGATAAACATGTTTAATGGCCTTCTACCAAGATACCACATTGCAGGATCTCTCTTGCAAGATGGAAGATACATATAGTAGCCCTGTCATCATATGCTACAAGCTTCCTTATCAAGGCCTCAACACTCTCGTTTCCATTTCATATGCTGAAGACATTGACAATATGATGGATGAGTGTGAGTGCCTATTAGAGGCCTCCGGAAACAGATCGCCATTTTTCAAGTCTTTCTCTTTCCCCCACATGACATATGATAAGGAGAACTCTCATGATAGCGAGCCGAGTCACATTGTGGAAGTAATAGTATTTCTCTTTTTGAGGAATGATGACATTTTAGCGCCCGTGCATCTAAATTTTAAGCTCATTCAAATGTTATTGATGCAACAATCAAAATGAGTCAGATAGTCAATCCACTAAATATTATGCTTTATCCTTCACCAACTTACTAAATACCTCATTAGATTTATTACACTACTAGATCTTCTTCTTCTTTTTTCATTATAGCTCATACTTCTTATGCACTTGCTAAACAAATGGTAAAATTTTAATTCTCATGTGAAAATAATTTCGAAATAATAATAAAATACATACATTTGTACGTAGTTATGGGTTAATTGATGGGTTTGAAAGAAAAATTAAATTAAGATTTTATTAAAACGTTTTCTCCTTTATGATTTAATTTTATCATATGGTTCAACAATCATTAAAGATTTAAGTATATTCAATCTAATTAATTTGCTCTCTTCAATCTAATTAATTATTATTTGACTTTCTAATTGTTAGAAAGGTTTCATTATATTCAATCTAATTAATTAGTTCAATTAATATTGATAAGACCTATTTTGTTTCTTTGATCTCAATGTTATCAATGAGGAATTCATTAGTAATTTAGTATATAAAATGAGAATATTAAGATGGATGCGAGGAATGTTTTAGTTCAAAATATTTATGTTGTTGGAATAGCAACCATTGAAGAGAGCTATAAAAGCAAATTTAGAGTTATATGGTTTGAGCATTTTATGTAGAGCATTGCAATGTTTCTATGTTAGATAAAAATAATGAGATTAAAAAGGAAAAAGAAATAGATTAATCATGTAACAAAAAGATATTCATAAGGATATTTTATCTAGAAATAAATGATAAAATGATATTCATAATGCTATCTCCAAGTAGTTTGCTCAAGGCTAACAATAAAAATATAATATGAGGTAAGCATTTTTTTTTTTTTTTCAAAAGAAATGCATATTATTTTGTGGTTCGATCCTCAAAATTGTTTGGCAAGATAAGTTTTAAATCATGTAGAACCATTTAACAGTATAATTCAGAATTTAAGAAGGTTAGTTCATTAAAATTTTTAATTTAATGTGTTTTAATTTAAAATTGCATTTTAAGTGAAATTACTTATTATTTATAACCTTAATTATCATCAATGAATTTCAATTATAAAAATAATATAATTAGAAAATAATTTAATTATGAAATAACTTATTAATTTTAATTTTGATTGTATTTTTTAATTGTCATGTGCTAATTATTATTTATTATTTATTATTTTAATTATCATTACTAACTAATTATTATGAATAATGCAATTAGAATTTAAGCTAATTATCTTTTTTTTAATATTATTAATTAATTTAAGTAAGTAATTATTAATTAATTAACGTTTTATTCTTACTTAAATTTAATTAAATAGTTAAACTAAATTACTTTATTTCCTATGTGTGAATTCCTAGGGTTGCTTTTCCTCTCCTCCGGCTGTTCGTTGCGATTCGACTTGGCCTGCTTGGCGTGACGCCTCCTTCGACGACGTCTCCTCGCCGTTCTTCTGCAGGATTGGAAGGAAAAAAGACGACGGGAGCTTGCTCGTAGCGAAGGTAGCGATCTTTCTTCCTGCGCGATTCTTCGGCCAAATCCCGAAAATCCTGTTTGACAGGATATAGCTTAAATCCTGCTCGAATCCAGCATAAATCCTGTATCCAAACAGCCCCTCTCTCAATTCGTGGGATTTATAATCTCCCAATCTCTCTCTTTCTGCATCACTTGGAGATCTCCACCGACATTTTCTGCCTTCTCCAAAAATGGTACGCCCTCCAAAATCTGAGCTTCAGAAGTTGTCAATTAGGGTTATTGTTATATTAATTAAAATTAGGGTTTTGTAAATTGCTTTTATTGAATTTTTGGTGTTTAGGATATCTTCTAGTTTGCTCTGCTTGTAATCTGTTCGTTATGTTTCTTGATTTTCTCAAATAAATCTGAGGAAGCTTGAAATTGATAAAGCTGGTCCGTTGAAACATAATATGCTGCTTGAATTCGTTTACGGGTGTGATCAGATGCAGGAGCCGATATGTAGTTTTAATTCTATCAATAAAGACACAAGGACAGCAGCCTGATATCAGCAAGGGACATTAACATTATATTCCTTGAAATATGTGGCATAAGCATAGTTCAACACAACGTTATATAAGAAAGAATTACTTCATATTTGCAATAGACTTCTGAATCCAGTGTGATAAATAGAATGAGTTAAATCATATTTGCATTCTGTCATAAGTTTTTTGCATCAATTACGATAAGTTATAGCCATTGGATTATGCAATGCCAAAAGGTATCAAATAAGTGTCTAAGAGGTGTCAAATTAAATTATGTGGCTCATTAAATGACTTGATGGACACAATATGCTAGAGTGCTTGGCTGAATTTTCAAGTATCTAACATAATATGATGCCTTGCGGAAGTTTTCATGCTTTATAGCTTTGTGTTGATCACAATGGAAAACGTTGATTTTTTCACCATAATTTGAATAATGAATTCCTGGAGTAAAACTGAGGCATTTGGATTTGTAGATTCTGCGTAAACCTTCCCATCTAATAATCCTTGATTTTAATGATTGTTTACCCCTTTTGATAGTGGGAATGTATGATTCTTGTTAGTTTTCTAATTTATGGTTTGAGCCCATTTCATATATGATTTCTACAAATTGGTTTTGTGGACTGATTTGTTTTATACTTCAATTTATATAGTTTCTTGACCAAATCACTAGTGTTAAGAAATGTAATAGTGATAATTATTATTTGCTTAGCTCTAGGTGAGTGCACATTCGTACGGGTCCATTTCTTTCTGTTAATATGTTCTTAAATGTCTAGGTATTACTAACTTGGGTTTTTTTTTTTTCTTGCTCCTTGAAGTCTTCTCTTGCTGCTGCCAGAGCTGATAATTTTTACTACCCACCAGAATGGAGTCCAAAAAAGGTACTTGTAGTAACTTAGCTTGAAATCTCCTTAATCAATCAAAACATTGCTTCGTATTTCTTTCATTAACATGCTTATTGTTTGTATGTAGGGTTCGTTGAACAAGTTTCATGGTCAACATGCACTCAGGGAGAGAGCAAGAAAGATCGACCAGGGTATTCTGATTATAAGGTGCTTATTATTTTTCTGTTATGCTTTTACGATTTGCCTGAAGGCTTTTTGGGTGAGAAGAAAATGAATTAGTAGGAATCATTAGTTTTCCTTGCTCTTTGCTTATGCTTACATTGATTTTGTGGGATTTGTATTGCTTTGTGTTGGTCTAATGATCTCACATGGTACATTAAGTGATGTTTGCTTCGACAAGTCATTCTAGTCTTTGCAAGAAGAAGTGCTATTTGTTACCTGCTTATTTTTTTCTGAAAGCTAAATGTTTTAGCTAATGTTATTCGTTCTATTTGGTGCCTCATAATATGATAAAATGTCTTGTGCATTTCATTTATGTAAACATAATTAATTGTTCTTGTTAATGTGTTATACTATTATCTTAATTCATTAGTTCTATATCCTTCTTTTTTTGTTAATCTCATCTTCCTCAAAGCATTAAGACAACATTTTTGCCAAAGGGGTAGCTGTGCAGCTGTATTTCTTTCCTTCTTTTGGTGAAGCAGCAAATTTCTACTTATTTCTGTTCCCTGTAATCTTATCTACTTTTGCTAAAATATGTGTTGCTCAAAGCATGCAAGCATGTCAATTTTTAGCAAGAGTTGGAAGAAACCAAACCAATTCTTAACAAAAAGAATGCATATTGCGCTACTGGTCTTATAACTTAGTTTAGTATTTCTTAATCAATTATATTTAGTTATACAAAGATTTTTCATATTCTTGTGACCATCTTTCTTTTCAGATTTGAAATGCCCTTCAATATCTGGTGTGGTGGATGCAATTCCATGATTGCTAAGGGTGTGAGGTTCAATGCAGAGAAAAAGCAAGTGGGAAATTATTATTCCACTAAGGTACTTTGCACTACTCCTAACTAAAATTCATTTTGTTCAGGGAAGCTGCCTATCTGAAATGTTTGCAAGCTAACTGATTTTTATGAGATTGAATCGATGGATGGATTTGTTGTTTTCATTCTTAAATTAGGTTTCACTGTACAAAAACAGTATTTGGGCTCGTCTATTTGCTTGTTGGTTGAAGTCTTTGTTTTAGAAAATGTTGATTTTATTTTCTCTTTTTTTGTGCGGACAAAATTACCACATTTGAGGTATTGCTTCAAATTACACAATTTAAGATATGCTTCTGGGTGAGGACTACAAAGCACCTTAGAGCTTACTCCTCACAATGGGAGTAAGAGGCGTAAGCCTCAATTGTTCGTGATATGCAATGAGGTGCGCCTTGAGACATGGTATGTAGTGTATGCCACTATTTCGGGCATTGTGCTTTTTTCACTTGACAACCCAATGCTCAAGTGGCATTGTAAACTACAATAAGATTTCAATCGTGGCTTTTTTAATGGTGGAGGAAAAAAAGTGGCTTTTTTAATGGAGGAGGAAAAAATATGGGTAAAAGTCGACAAGAAATTAGCAAAAAATGTTAGCATAAAATTTTATAAAATTGAAATGATAAAAGGGTATTACAGTCATTGTTTTAAATCAGATTTTTTATTGAATTTGATTAGTTATGAAAGGGAATGATGATTGAGATCGAAGATGATGAAGATTTGAAGGATTTTGATATAAGTGACAGGTGAGGGTGGAGAAAAAGCAATCAACTAAGATGATAATTCTCATGAAAACCCTTTAAGTGATGGGATTTGGAGAAATTTTTAAATTTAGATCCCTAACTCATAATTAGTTTCTTTTAGGACATTTAATTATTTTTATAGACTTATTATCTATGTTTATTTTTTTATCTTAAACTTCATGATTTTTTATGATGTTATTTTTACACTTTAAGAATACTCTCAAATATTTTATTTGGGGGAAATCGAGCTCAAATTTTTTTGATACTCATCATTGAGTGCTAAGAAAGATTAAATAAAGGGGGGAAAGTGCTGTCAATTTCTTAGTTTGATCCAATTGTATTCTGTAGTCTATTTACCATTTTATATTATTTTTAAGTTAAATACATCAAATCTATTAAGTAATTTTCTGTTAGAACTTAGCCATTCATACCATAAGATTTACAATTTTTTAACCAGTTTCACACCCAATCTCATGGCGAAGACATTTTGTGTTTCTCTCTTGATCATATTTTTCCCTTTGCAATGCATTATGGTAAAAAGATTAGAAGACTGTGAATTGTAAATTTTTTTATACAAAAACCTGTTGTTGTCCTAGCATAATAAAGAATTGCTCAATGAGGGTGTGCCGGGTATCTGAGGTTATCATCAATATGTGGAATTGTCTAATTTTTGAAAGAATAACCTGCTTTTGTTGTTTAATAATCAATTGCACAATAAGGGTGTTCTGAGGTTGCTGCCAATATGGGGTTTTTGAGGGGTTTTGTAGGAATCTTATCTTTTGTATTATAGAGAGGCCATTTATGATTTGAGCCGGTGACCTATAGATCAGAAGAAATCACTCCAGACCTAACTGTTAGTATTAGTTCTGAAGAAGGAATAGCTAGTTACCATAACAAACGGGTTATATCGTAACGTTGACAAGTTAACATGCAGGATAGACGGTGACTAAGGGAGGTAATTGGTCTAACCCAACTGTTACAAATAATGAAGAAACTAATAGATT